CTCGCCCTTCTGCTTCCCCCTGTTCCGACAGAGCTGGTGAGACACAGGCCTTGGGGCTTCGGTGCTTACCTCTGGTGGTTTGCAAAGCTCACCCCAGCTTGTTGTCCATTTGTGCAGTTTCTGTTTTACTGTCTAACTGCTCTGTTTACATCTAAGGATTCAGGGAAGTCAAGTGGCCACGCGGCCACCACCACCTTCCCAAGACAAACTCGAAGAAAGAAGAAGGAACAAAGAGGGGACCTTGCTCTGTCAGAAGTCACTGACAGTGCAGTTGATGACGAGACGGTGTGGTGTTGGTCAGGAATAGGCAGATGGGGAGGAACCAACGCGGCAGCTTGGAAATCTGGCTTCTGGCGAAAGTGGCCACACAGGCCATGGGGGCAGGGAGGAGCAGGAGCTAATTAACCAGTGGTGTGGCCCCCCCAAAATTAAAACTGGATTCCTACTTCATCTGAATGTGGCAAACAAAACTCCAAACAATTAGAAGGAAATGTAAATCTTTAGGATCCAAGGATTGGGAAGAATTTCTTAAAAGACACCACAAATCCACGAGAGAAGAGACTGATAAATATGATTACATCAACATTAAAAACTTCTGATGGGCATTAAAAAAATAAAAATAAAACCAAACCCATTGCTGTGGAGTCGATTCTGAGTCATGGAGACTCTATAGGACAGAGTAGAACTGCCCCGCAGCGTTTCCAAGGAGTGGCTGGTGGATTTGAACTGCCGACCTTTTGGTTAGCAGCTGAGCTCTTAACCACTGAGCCACCAGGGCTCCTCTGAAGGGCATTAGATGTTCTAAACAAGGCTGAAAGGCAAGGGTGGGGAGGTAGAGAAGGACAGACGCCTTGCGGTGCCTGGAACAGTTTAGGAGTAACTGCCCACAGTGTGGGACCCCGTTCAGAGAGAGCAGTGACAGTAACAACAGAAAGCACGAGCCTCCAGACTGGACCACTAGCCCAGGGTACGAGCAGGTGAGACGCAAAGGAGAAACCTTAGAGGCCAAGACGTGCATGAAGCTTTGCTCAGTCTCACTGAGAAGCCACCACCACTACTGGCTGCTGTTGACTCTGACTCACGGCACCCCCACGTGTGTCAGAGTGGAACTGTGCTCTATAGGGTTTTCAATGCCTGGTTCTTTGGAAGCAGATTGCCAGGCCTTTCTTCTGAGGTGCCCCTGGGTGGACTCGAACCGCCAACCTTTTGGTTAGCAGTTGAGAGCTGAACCATTTGCACCACCCAGGGACTCCCACTAGTAATCTGAGAAATGCAAACTAGAACGAGCTTCCCATCGACGGTGGTGGAATAAAGCTGCTGCCCCCCCGCAAACATCGCCCCCTACTCAATACCAAACAGACTCAAGAAAGATATCTTAACATCCGAAAAAGGATCCCCCACAGCAGGCAAACAACCAGAGCCATCAGCCCTGAGAGGCGGCCAGGAGGAACGAAAGGGGAGAGTCGGGTCCGGGGCACCGTGCCCCCTCCCCACCCACCCAGAGCCATACAGGCCAGATGACAAAACCCTAAAGATTCTTCATGAAGCTCCCCAGTCTGGAGAAAGGCAAGCCTGGGGCATGTCCTCGTCTTTCCACCGTTCTGGCTGGGGCGTGGGGAGAAAGGTACAGTGGAGAGAGGCTGCTGTGGAGGCTCCAGGGCTTCACTGGGGGTGTCCAAAGACTGAGGGCCCCTCCCATTCCCACTGCCCAGGGCCTAGAATACGCCCCCAGGAAGTACATCGCACCTGGCAAGCTTCCCCTCTCTCTGCCACACCTGGGGCTGCCAGACAGGGGGGCAGATGCTGGAAGTCCAGGGGGAAACCCCACGAATTTTGGTTCAAACAGAGCGGGAAGGAGAAGGAAGAAACCTAGGGTCTGTGTGGAGCTGCTAGTGTGACCAGGATGTAAAGAAATGTTGCAAACACACCATGGAAAAAATAACAGTGAGAATGGAAGGAAGGAATATAGAAAGACAGATGGCATGGGACAGAAGGAGATGTGACCCAAAGGTGGAGGGAAACGCCCCACAGGTCCTTCCAGCTACGTCATGGTTCTGGCTAGCTGCCATGGACCCGACCACAGATTCATGCTGACCCCACGCACAATGAAGCGAAACACTGCCTGGCCCTGCGCCATGCCCAGGATGAGTTGTGGGTTGGAGAGGGTTTTTGTTAGCTGATTCTCAGAAGTAGATTGCCAGGCCTTTCTTCCTAGTCCATGTTAGTCTGGAAGCTCCACTGAAACCTGTTCAGCATCACCCAAGCTTCCACTGACAGATGGGTGCTGGCTGCACATGAGGTGCATTGGGGCAGTGGTGGCTCAGTGGTAGGAGTCTTGCCTTCCACATGGGAGACCCAGATTTGATTTCTTGCCAATGCAAAGCTTCCAGCTATAGCACATCTCAATAAGGACACAGATTCAATAAAACCAGGAATCAACAAAAAATGGCCAAACAGCAGAATAATCTGAAAAGGAGGACTGCTGACCCAAGAAACAAAGTGAGGACCCAAACAATCCCATTACAGAACTGATACACTAGAAATGCAGGGAATGGGGTAGATATGGCTGAAAACTAAATTGTTGACTGAGAATGGTTGAGATAATTACAGTGAAAGCAATAGAAAAAATCAAAGAGATTAACCAGAGAGAAATTACCAGATACTGGAAGACAAAGACAATCCAATATAAAGATAATTGAAGACCTTGAGGTAGAGAACTTACAAGACTGCTCAAAGATGTAACTTTAAAAAATGTCCCCGAAATTATGAAAGATGTAAATCTGTGGGTCCCAGAAAAGTGACAATAACGAGCGCCTCCAAGATAAGGCCTGGTAAATTGTGGCACTTCAGGGGCAGGAAAAGAAATCTCTAGGCATCCAGGCAGACGAATCAGGTTGGCATCAGACTTCTCTACAGCAGATACTGTCAGAGCAAAATCCACAAGGGTCTGGAGATGTGGATTTTCCCTTATAAAAGCAATGGTAGACACCCCCAGATGGGAGAATCCAGGACAGAACTAGCAGTGGTCATGTAGAGATCCCAACACTGGGAGAAGGACAGGGGCTCATGGCTGAGAGCAGGCTGTCCCCATGCTGTCCCAGATGGACATACAAAGATCAGAAACATGAGGGCTCTGGCTTCTCAATGTTCTTCATAATCTCCTTCCTTATCCTTGAGGAAACAGTGTCTCTTGAGGTGAAGAAACATTTATTAATTAAAGTCTGGCAATATTTTTTTGTTTATTTTTTCTACTAAACTCAAGTAAAAAGAAATGAAATACTTATTTTAAAAGACATAAAGTGATTTTTTTTATAAAATGATTTTTACCTGTTTACCTTGCTAACTGTATATTTGCCTACAAAAATGTTGCGATGGTTAAGATTGTGTGTCCACTAGGCTGGCCCATGACTCTCAGTGATTTGGCAGTCATATGATGTTGTGATCACTTCCATGATGAGATCTGATATGATATGATCACCTCCATGATGGGATCTGCTGTGAGTAGCCAATCAGTTGAAAGGGAGTTTTGTTGGGCGTGTGGCCTGCATTGAACATAAGTGGACATTCTGGCAAGGCTTGGAGGCTTTTCTTGTTCAGGAACCTGCAGCTGGCTTCTGTTCATCTGAACTCTGGTTCTTGGGACTCGAGCTAGCAGCTTACCTGTGATCTTGCCTGCAGATCTTGGGATTCGTTGATCTTTACATCCTGTGAGCAAGAGCCTTGCTCTCTGACCTACTGATCTTGGGTTTGCCAGCCTCTACAGCTACGTGATTCAGGAGAAATCTCTATGCTGACCCATGGACTTGGGATGTTCCAGCCTCTACAACTGTGTGAGCCATTTCCTTGATACAAATATCTCTGCATATACTTACACGCTTTACTGGTTTTGCTTCTTTAGAGAACCCAGCCTAAGACAAATGTCTAGAACAATGCTTACCTAATGTAAATAATACTTATTTCTATATGGGGGCTTTGGAGTGAGTTTTATGTTAACGTCCTTCCTTATATATTCTGTATCACTTATATTCCTCTTAAAAAACATATGCAATATTTACAAAGACAGTAGAGTTGTTTTAAAAAAAAGAAAAAAACAATGAGATACCATTTCACATTGCGCAAAAAGAAAAAAGTTTGGTAGGAGGAAAAGGGGACTTCCCGCGTTGCTGGTAGGAATGTGAACGGTACAGCCACTTTGGGGAGCGATGTGGCACCGTCCAATATAACAGAAAATGTGCCACTTGTGCGCCCAGCGAGCCTGTGTCTGGGCATGTCCAGGGGGCCTTGCCGTGGGCACCGGGCCATGAGCAGGGGTGTCCAGGGTGCTGTTTCCAGACGGCTGCGGCCGTGTTGGTGAGGAGGCGTAGGGCGGACCGGAGCTACTCGGCTCACCCCACTCTGCAGGGGGTACCCCAGCTGCCTGGAGCAGTGCAGCCAGTGGTGTCACTAGGGTTGGTGTTCCCAGTGCAAGTAACTCATGGTGTCACCACCACCCCCACCTGATGGGCAGAGCACTGGGCCCTGCCCCACCTCCGCACAGGGTGATCGCCACCTGGCGCTGCCCCTCCCGGCCCTGCCCTTCCCGGCTCCCCTCAGCTCCTCCCCTCTCTCATTGGCCAAGACATCTGCCCTTCTCTCCGCCCAGTGGGAGGTGCGGTGGCCTAGCTGCCTGGACCCTGACTGGCAGATGATGGCGGGGGTGTGACGAGTTACCACACTGGGTAACGGGTAACACCAACCCTAATGATGCCACTGCCTTGGTGGCCCCTCTCCCAGCGGTGCCGACCTGCCACCGCCATCACGGACCCTGGGGTCATTTTGGTGTCATCCCCCCAGTTGTGTCGGGGGTGTAGTCTGCACCCCTGCACCCTCTTAGTGAGGCCACTGGATGTGGCTGCCCTGTCTGTGTGGGGCGGACAAGGTGACCCTGGCAGGCCTGAGTGGGCCTGGGGGGTGTGTCCTGCCCAGTGTCCCCCCGCCCCGAGAAGCTGAGATGGACTCACAGTTTGTGCGGCTCTTGCAGGCAAAGCCCTGTGGATAGAACAACAAGAAGGGTGAGAAGCTGAGGGGTCAGCCCAGCCACCTGTTGCCCCACCCCATGACCTGGCCCCAGAGTCACAGGCCCCATCCTGTCTCTGCTCTGCCCCTCACTCTCAGGTGGGTCCTGAGGTTCCTCCTTAGTGTCTGGGGGCAGCTCCCTCTGGCTCCCAGAAAGTGCCCAAGAAGGCCCAGCCCAAGGCCTGGCACACCAGCATTGCTTAGTAAACAGTGCAGGCAGGACCAGGCTCCATGCGGCACTCTAGGCCCCACTGCCCAGTCACAGCCTGGACTCCAGATCCTCCTACTGGCTTAAGGTCCCCACAGAACTACCCTCCACTGTTCATTCATGAGACAAATAATGAGAGAGCAGCTGCCATGTGCCGGGCCCTGCTTGGGTGCTGGGGACACATGAATAAAACAAAATAGACACACATTCCTGCCTTCAAGGGGTTTACATTTTGCTGTGGGGAGACATAAGACTCTGAAACAGTAAATTACATTTGATCTTCGATGCTGATAAGTGATGTGGGGAAACAGTAGAGGGATCGGGGAGTGTCTGGGGGAAATGTGAGCTGTAATTCAAATGAGGTGCCAGTGAGGCCTCATGGAGGGGAGAATTTGAATGAACACTGAAGGCAGTGAGGGTGTGAGCCATGGGATATTTGGGAGAGGCATTCTACGCACAGTGAACAGCCTGTGAAAATTCCCTTCCCAGACTGAATCTCAATTCTTGTTCTTACCCCTAATGTCGCCTCCTGCTCAATGGCTGGAGAGCTCAAAGAGGGGTGCCCAGCATGAGGACAGGAGGGGTCAGACAAGCGCCTGAGGGTTTCCCGGGGAAGGCGGCAAGGCTGCTCCTGGCACCGCCTGTGGGATAGGCAGGAAGTGCCTTGGACCCAGCTCTAGTGGGTGTGCTGTGTGCCTCCATAGCTGAGTGTGGAGATAGGAAGGCAGAGTGCTGTGCTTCCCGGGGGAGCCAGGTGAGGGCGCCCCCCCCCCCCACCCCGTGGTACTATACTGGGGCACTTGGCTGTGCTGGACCCGTGTTCAACAGCGACACCAGGTGGCAACAAGCAGTAACAGCAGTGTGAAGTGCTGAGGGTCCAGAAAAACCCCTCTCTGGAGCGGAAGCCTTCGTGGTTGGGGGAGCTTAAGAGAGAGACCTGGGACTTCCTGCTAGTAGCCCAGGTGGGAAAACGGAAAAATAAAAGATGTGTCCATTTCTGTTTCTTAAATTTGTGGAGTAGGTACTACTGGTCGGTTACACTTCCAGCCCCATCTCCCTTTTATAAACAACCTTTTTATTTTGGAGTAATTTTAGACTTACAGAAAAGATGCAAAGATAATACACAGAGTTCCTGTATACCCTCCAACTGTCTCCCCTAATGTTACCATCTCACAGAACCATGATGCATTTGCACAATAGGAAATCAGCACTGGTGTATTGCCAGAATCTAAACTCCAGACTGTATTTGATTTTACCCGTTGCTGTGCAGTGAATTACTTAATATAGCCCTTCTAGCCACAGCCTTTGTAACTCCCTCCAAATGACTAGGTGGGACTATGCAAATGAGGTGTTTGTGGCCCACCAAGGGGATCGGATAGCTTGCTAATAATGAAAATAAGGTGCATGGCACTCTAGTGGTGATGTTGTTGCTGTTAAGTGCCGTCGAGTTGGTTCTGACTCATAATGGCCTTATGTACAACAGAACAAAACACCGCCCGGTCCTGCACCATCCTCACAATTGTTGTTATGCTTGCACCACCCTATAGGACAGAGCAACCATATAGGACAGAGTAGAACTGCCTCACAGGGTTTCCAAGGAGCTGCTGGTGGATTTGAACTGCCGATTTTTCGGTTAGCAGCCGTAGCTCTTAACCACTGTACCACCAGGGCTCCTTTTGTAGGGATAGGACCATGCAAATAGGGTGTATGGAACCCTAACGAGGGGATTGGTCAGTTTTGCCATCCTGCTAGGCAATTTTTACTGTCGGGATGTGTTGCAATGGCACCAGATTCATGTAAGCATGGGACCTCGTAAGAGAAAGAATGAAGTGCTGGGAAGTGAGACTTTTGATTCTTAAATGGTTATTTTGGTTGTTGTTACCTCTAATGACTGAAAGGAAAGTAAGAAATGTTCTCCTGCAGCTGAGGGCAGAAAAGCCTCATCTGGAGTGGCTTGGGGCAAAAGTTAGGCTGATTAAACAAGATGATTGATATGGGGCCACTGTCTGTCTATTGGTTCCAGCCAGCCAGAGGCCCAAAGCCATGTGCACATGAATGGGAAGACAGTCAATGCATGGAGAAGAGAAGCTGAAACTGGAATGTTTTAAAAAGGATTATGTGTTTAGGGTTATGTGTTTATCTAGACCTACCAGGAATATTGAATGTTTCTCCTACCTACTGTTGTGAAACAGACCTAAAATATATAATGGAAATAAATATTAGGTATTATAGATTATCAAGAGCATGTAATTACCCCTCAGCCAATACTTGATTGGATCTGCCCCAAAGAATTTTCCCCAAAGAAACACAGGCTATTGGTTTGGATGCAGTAGCCCTGTGTATAGAGTATCCGGGGCTTAGGTTGAAAAACTCACCATGCGTCTGTCAGTTTGTGGTACTGTGGTGGCTTGTGTGTTGCTGTAATGCTGGAAGCTATGTCACTGGTATTTCAAATACCAGCAGGGTCACCCATGGTGGACAGGTTTCAGCAGAGCTGCCAGTCTAAGACAGACTAGGAGGAAGGACCTGGTGGCCTACTTCTGAAACAATTTGACCAGTGAAAACCTAATGAAGAGCAGAGAAACATTGTCTGATATAGTGCCGGGAGATGAGTAGCTAAAGAGAGTGGAAGAAATGATGAACTTAAAGAGCTCAACAGAAGATTTCAAAGGACGTCTCGAGAAGACAAAGTAAAGTATCATAATGAAATGTGCAAAGATCTGGAGTTAGAAAATTAAAAGGGAAGAACATGTTCAGCATTTCTCAAGTTGAAAGAACTGAAGAAAAAATTCAAACCTCAAGTTGCAATCTGAAGGATTCTATGGGCAAAATCCCATTCCTGTGGAGTCGATTCTGACTCATAGTGACCCTATAGGACAGGGTAGAACTGCCCCATACGGTTACCAAGGAGCAGCTAGTGGATTTGAACTGCCGACCTTTTGGTTAGCAGCCATAGCTCTTAACCCACTGCACCACCAGGGGAAACACCACTGGTGGTTCCTAACAACAACAGATTGAAAACCTAAGTGAGCCCCATCCAGGAAATTGGAATTTGAAACACATGCAGACCTACCCAGATTGCTGCAAGAGCAGGAAATTTGCATTTGAAGGAAAGATCTGCAGAAAAAACATGACTGTTTTGCTTTTTGGATTTTGAGAAAACTGTTTGCCTTTGGGTATACTGAGGCAGGAAAAGTCAGTGCCCATTCCAGGAATAGAAGTTAAAGGGAGCTTGCGAGTGGACAGCCTGGCATACTCGCCTGTGGTGACCACCTGGGTCCACTCATGAGTGGAAGTGGGGAAGGTGCAGCCATGTAGAGATGGGCTGATTTTGACATGTTCCACTGGCACCTGTTGACCTAGCCCAGGGAGGCTACAGATGAGAAAGGGAGAGAAAGGCTGCCTGGTCTGAAGTGCAGGGAGTTGTGTGGACTCCTAAGCCCAAGGGGGCTAGGGATGAGATAGCGCAAAAGGGGCTGGTTGGTCTGAAGGGCCAGGAGGTGTGTGGGCTCCTGGGCCTACGGCTGGTACTCATTGACCTAGCTAACAGGGGCTAGGGATGAGCTGACCAGAAACTAATCAAGTAAAAAGAAAGATGTTTGACACCATGAGTTAGTATAGACTGCTGCAATTTGATGCCTTGCTCTGGACTGGACTTTGCTTATGGATGCCGATGTTCCAATCAGAACAGAAAATTCTTTACACCAAGAAACATGCTTGTCTCCTCAGAGTACTGGTTTGATAGGGACGGGCAATTTAAGTACTGGCTATCTAAAATGGGGGGAGATAAAGGCATGAAGTGGCTAGCTTACACGCTTTTGTGAGTGTGCTTACATTAAATGAGGGGTCAAGGGAGGATCCCCAACTGAATAGATCCCTCTCTTCCTGATGGGTCTGGGAAAGACAGGGTGGGGGAAGATGTTGATAGGATTATATGATTCAGTTGTGAGTATTGATTGTTAACAGGGTTAATTGTGATTGTAAAAACTGTAATTGTAGATCCTGTAAGTGTGAAAGAGTGGACTACGGGGGAGACACTGCTGGATTGGAGTACAGTGGCCAAACCTAAAGTTCCTTAAAAGTTTTGCCATGCTGACACCTTGTGAGGCTCAGAGCAAGAGAGTGATCTGCTCTCAGTTAAATTTCACCAGAGGCCAGAAAGGGTGAAAATGAGATGACTTTTGGAGAACCTGTCCAGATCAGATGGACGGACAATTGCAGGACCTGAACGACTGGTACCTGAGTAACTTCACCCTTAGGACTCTTTGTTAATGACTACTTTGACTGGTAAAATGATTCGGAGGGGGATGTTAATCCTTCAAGTATGAAAGAGCCAATGGCTAGAAGAGCCAGGGGGTGGCCTGTAGTGCGGTGAATTACTTAATGTGGCCTTCTAGTCATAGTCTTTGTAACTCCCACCAAATGACCGGGCAGTTATTAGGCGCTGTTGCGTCGGTTCCCACTCGTAGCGACTCTGCACAAGAGAACAAAACACCGCCCCGTCCTGCGCCATCCTCACAATCGTTGTTATGCTTCAGCCCATCATTACAGCCAGTGTGTTAATCCATCTCATTGAGGGTCTTCCTCTTTTTCACTGACCCTATACTTTACCAAGCATGATGTCATTCTCCAGGGACTGGTCCCTCCTGATAGGATGTCCAAAGTATGTGAGACGAAGCTTCTAAGGAGCATTCTGACCGTACTTCTTCCAAGACAGAGTTGTTCACTCTTCTGGCAGTCCATAGTATATTCAATATTCTTTGCC